GGAAAATGAGCCTAAGAAGTCTACAGTTTCAGGAGTAATACCCACTGCTATTTCCTTTATCCAGACACACTGTTTTCTAAGAAGTTAATTTGGCTGCAATGTTTCAATCAATATATACAATAAAATGTTTACAAATTACAAAACAAACAAAATGTGAAATTTTGATGCGGGGGAAAAATAAGAGAAAAACTAGTCTTACCTTATCCAGTCTCTTTTGCCAGCTTTCCTCACGTTTTACCATTAGTTCAATACAGTGAGAAAGTGTAGCCAGGATTCCAGCAGTAGTTGCTTTAAAAGTTATTGCTTCTCCTTTAAAGTCTATACCATTAATCCCTTTTGGTGGTACATGAGGAAATACTGAAAAAGAATGTTAATCACTTAAAATCTTTTTAATAGGTAAATTAATTCTTCATCAAAATTTCAAAATTATGCTTTGAAAACTAGAAAGTCATTTGGACTACAATTTTCCTCCTGTGGACCCATATTTTATACCTTCTGTACGCAAAGCAGCTGTAGCAGCATATATCCTTTTAGTCCTTTTATCTGTATTCTATTTTCTGAAATTGATTTGCTGTGCTGCACCCAGTGAAGCAAGTGGTAGGAGACATACACTCTTAAGGACAACATTTTGGCATCTTAAAGTATGGCAACAACTAATAACACATTTTGAAATTATCTGCAGTTAAACCAGAGAATTGAAAAGATAAAGTTTTAGCATGATTTCCAAATTTAAGTGTAAGATCAAAGCTCATAAGGCTTCTAATATTTATAATTCCAGCCTTGGATTAAATATAAACAAGAGAGCATTAAGTTATAGCTGTTTTTAAAACCTTCCAAAAGAACCCTTATAAATGAAATACAACTACTTTCAACTTAAAAAATCAACGTAAAACGCCCATACAAAGATTTGTACATAAATGCTCATAGTAGCTTTATTATTTGTAACAGCCAAACTTTGTGAAGAGCCCAAATGTCCACCAACAGACGAATGAATAAATTGTAGCACATTATACAATGGATACTACTCAGCTATGAAAAGGAATCAATTACTGATATGTGAAATCACACATGGATCTCAAACTGAAGAATAAAATCAGCCAAAATGGACATATGTAAGCATGATTCCATTTATTTTATATAAACTCCTGAAAAAGACACACCCATCGACGGTGACAGAGAACACATCAGTGGCTACTTGGGAGTGGGGTGAAAGGGAGAAGAGAGGTAGTACACAAAAGGGTTCCATGTAACTTTTGAGAGAGATGTAGTCATGACTGTGGCATGTTTTCAGCCAAATAACTGATAGGTCTAAAAGGGGAACAGTAATACAAGGGAGATACACTCCTTAGAATATCAGCCACTTGGATGAAAAGGGCAATATTTACCCAAGGGCAAAGTTCAGAGGGTCTGGAAAGGAGGCAGAATGGCAAAGGGAACAGTTAAGGGAAGCAGTAGATTTGGTAAATGTTTCTATATTATCAATGACAGAGAACAAAAATGTATAGAAATTTGTTGAAAAGAAAACTAATTTACTCTAAATCTTCATCCAATTCATAATTTCTGGTTAAAAAAGGAAAAAAAATTAAGATTTAAGTGAAAATATGCTACAGCCACTGATTTTTCTTCATATTTTTCATAAGTATAATAAGTCAAAGTAAGTATAGTTAGATGAAATTATCTTGTCCACAAAGTCTTATTTGTAACAAAATATTTTTAGGAACCAAGTGTTGTTTGTCCTTAGACTATGTCCAAAGAAGAACAATGACTTCGAATGACAGGTTATCAATGAGCAAGTCAGAATTAGCCATTATAAATAAAACATCAATGACTCAAATAGTCTATGAAATAAATGATCTTTCTCCAGGATCTATAAACATTATGCTATGACAGCATAGTTATTTCAGTAATTTTCCTCAAATAATCTGAATTATGTATTTTTCAACACCAGTTTCTCAAGTGGAGAGAAACGAATGTTAAACGGAAGGAAAAAAGATATACTTCAAAAAAATACATTCAAGTTAAGTCCCATTACATTATTTCCCTTCATCATCCTTTTCAGTACTAGAATTTTATTATAACAAATGCTGCTTAAGAAATAGGCTAATGTCTAGAATTCAGAATAATTGTGAGCTACTAAGTGGCCATTATTTAAACTCAGGAAGTACATTTCCTAGGAGAAATTCTCACTTGGAAGCCAGCAGTTCTAATGCTTTAAAATTTTTACTCAATTAAGTAATTATTCTTTGATGTGTAGTGGATTATTTTTTGACTTTAGAAAGTGTGTTTTATCCAACTAAAGGGAAAAATAGATTACTTACTCTTTTCCTTGTTGCCATTGGTATTATGCAAGAAATCTCCGTCAGAGCGTGTTGTTGGAAAGTCATCTTCATCATCTTCTACCACTAAGTGAGATGACAGGGTAAAGAGTATTAGAGCAAAAGAAACCCAACCACTTTCTTCTTCTCGTGAAGGGTCAATATACTCTGGATTCTGAGCACAAGAGTTGAGTGCACTTTATTTATGGTGGTTATAAAGGTATGTTAAATAAGTATGCAGTAGAACATCTTTAATATCACATTGTTTTAAAATTGTACTCAATCTCATTTGTGTAAGGAATGGTTAGTATATGAGGGGGTACCCTCCCAAAAAAACCCTGGAATTCCCTAGCCCCCCCAAGCTGTGTATTTAATTTTTTTTTTACAAAACAACCTTATAACCTTCAATGTACCCTCCATTACACTTAATATATTTGTTAAATCTGCGATTCCATTCTTGGAAACATTTTTCAAATGCATCTGTTTGACTCCCTCGTTTTTTTTCTTCTTCACCTCTTCTATGGAGTCAAATCGCTGTCCTTTCACGGCCCTCTTCATTCGTGGAAACAAAAAGAGGTTGCAAGGAGTGAAGTCAGATGAGTCAGGGGTGTGGGCAAGAGAGGCATGCTGCTTTTTGGCAAAAACGTGCAATGAGGGATGTGTGAGCAGGTACATTGTCTTGGTGGCAAAACCGGTCCACCATCTGCCACAAATAAGATATTTTTTTGTACCACACAATTACACTATGTTTTCAGAACCTCTAAATAGAAAGCTTAATTAATAGTCTGATCTGGTGGAACGAACTCTATATATATGCACTATGAGTTGACATTTTCATCCATCCAGGAAGTTGCTAGACATCCAGAACAAGGTTTGTCATCAATCGACATTTCACCTTTTTTGAAATGGGAAAACCACTTGTACACTTGAGTTTTTCCCATAGCACTGTCCTTGTAAGCTATGTTCAACATTACAACAATTTCTGTGGCATTTTTTCCGGAGCAGGAAACAAAATTTGACAGCAGCACACTATTTTCTTAAATTAGTCACCACAAAAAATGAGGTCTGAGCAAAACAGCTTTAAAATTCACTGTGACCAGCGAGAACATTTCCAGGTGATGCCACTGGGTGTACTAACTCAGAGAAAGTTGCTCGATCCTTTCCTGCCTAGCAGGAAAAATGTGTACTACAAAAGCTTCTCTCAGTGGAGTTTCCCTTTTTTCTTGGGGGTGGGGCTCACGTTATGAATTATGTTTCCCTTTAGTCTTCTAAGGAACCCTGGTGGCTTACATGTTGGGCTAATCACAAGGTCAGTAATTCAAACCCACCAGTTGCTTTGCAAGAGAAGACATGGGTTTGCTACAAGTCAGAACGCACTTGGTGACAAGGAAAGTTAGTCTTCCTATTTCTGCTAATTCTCTTTGAGCCTTTTCATTACTCCATAAAAGCCTCGTGAGGTTGGAGCAGGTATTAAAATAGCTTCAGGAAGATACCTTAGTCTGTCTCTGGGAGTTCTCTAAGAAACCGTTTCTTGAGTCTGGATGGTGTTAACTGAGAGGCTGGTAGTTTGACTCCACTCAGAGGCCTGGCAATCTACTTCCAAAATCTCTACAGAGCACATTTCTTTTTGACAAACATGGATTCAGGATGAGTCAGAGTCACTCAACAGCAACTGGTTTTTCTGGATATGCAGGTGCCACGGCAATTTTCATTCACCTCCCTGTATCTGGGCCTAGTTATTCCTTTCAATTCCCCTACTTTTAAAAGCAAAAAACCTCAAATTTATTGCTGTCAAATCAATTCCAAATCACAGTAACCCTAGAGGGAAGGTTAGACACATATACAGTGCCCAAAGCCACAATTTTTACCCAAGCAGTCTGTCTTATCTGTCTCCCAAAGAATAGCTGGTGGGTTTGAGAGCTTAACCAGTCTTTTAATTCAAAACAATACCATAAACCCTTGCTACTCTCCTGCAACCTGTTTTTAGTCTACTGCAGCAGGTCTCAACCTGTGGGTCACGACCCCTTTGGGGATTGGATGACCCTTTCATAAGGGTCGTCTAAGACCATGGGAAAACACATATTTTCAATGGTCTTAGGAACCCGAGACACCGCTCCTCCCTCTGTCTCTAAGCAGGTCCGCCCACATGCAGATATGCACACATACGAGTACCTGGCATGAAGACTGTTACCCATGCTACTCAATGCTTCCAGGCAAATTTCTATTATTTGTAATTCAAAAGAAATATTTCATAATATATGACATATTGTTGTGATTAATCACTATGCTTTAATTATGTTCAATTTGTAACAATGAAAATATACCCTGCATATCAGATATTTACATTATGATTCATAAAAGTAGCAAAATTACAGTTAGGAAGTAGCAACGAAAATAATTTTATGGTTGGGGGTCACTACAACATGAGGATTGTCGCAGCATGAGGAAGGCTGAGAACCACTGGCCAATTGTTTCAAAGCTCTTCACCAAGTATTCCACCTATATAACACAAATCTCAGAACACTAGTCCTCGTCTATCAAGTCTTTTCCATTTTCTATCAAAGTTCTTAGATGATTAGTCTTTTCTTTAAGGAATTCCCTTTCTTTTTTGGGGTGTGTGTGTGATCGTTTACCTTTTATTTATTTGTTTGTTTGTTTATTTATTTTTAGCTTATAGTTACTAGAAAAAGATTTTTTTTAATCATTTCACTGGGGGCCCATACAACTCTTATCACAATCCATACATCCATCCATTGTGTAAAGCACATTTGTACATTCGTTGCCCTCATTATTCTCAAAATATTGGCTCTCCACGTAAGCCCCTGGCATCAGCTCATTTTCCCCCCTCCCCCCTCTCTCATGAACCCTTGATACTTTATAATTATTTTGTCATATCTTGCTCTGTCTGACGTCTCCCTTCACCCACTTTTCTGTTGTCCGTCCCCCAGGGAGAAGGTCA